ACTTGCCAATTACCTCCTTCAATTCAATGGTGTCAAACTCAAACGAAAACAGGGACCAGTAAATCCCTGCAGGATAGAGACTTAGAAAACTCCATATTAACATTGTCTATGCTTTATGGTATTTTTATTTATTATGTTATATATTTCCCAATTAATCTGTTTAGGGCTGAACAATGTTCCACCTCACTAAAATTATTTTATTGATCAGTCTTTTGTTTTTAATCTCATTTCTGTTTTGTTTTTGTTTTGTTTTTTGTTTTTTTAGTGAGGCAATCGGGGTTAAGTGACTTCCCCAAGGTCACACAGCTAGTACATGTCAAGTGTTTGGTCTGAGGCCGGATTTGAACTCAGGTCCTCTTGACTTCAGGGCTGGTGCTCTATCCATTGTGCCACCTAGCTGCCCCTTTAATCTCATTTCTGAACAGAACTTTCTCCTACCACCAAGGGAGCCTTCCTTTCAAATTAAAAAAAAAAATGTAGTCAAGCACATTGTGTCAAGTGACACATTGACCACATCTGAAAGCATATGCAACAGCCCATAGTCCCCACCTCTCCGGCTAGCTTTTAAGACCATCCATAGACTGGCTGGGATGTACTTTTCCAGTCTTATGTTTCTCCTCTTTATTAACTCTACATTTCAATTGGTAGACACCAACTCTTTCTTCCCTTGCCTACCATCCCTTGTACTTGTAATTAATCTACTCCTGTATTTTGGTCACTCAGAAGCCTTATTTTCCATCAAGGCTCTTCAGGTGACACCTCTTCTATGAAGCTTTCTCTGATTTCCTCCCTCCCCCAAAGATGCTGGGGATCCCTCTCAAATCATTTTGTATCTATTTATCATAGATAATAGAACAGCTAGGTGGCCCAGAGTATCAAGCCCCATTCCTAGAGGCATGATAGGCTTGAGTTCTAAGTCTGGCCTCAAACACACTTACTAGCTATGTGACCCTGGGCAAGTCACCTCTGTTTGCCTCTGGGCAAATCACTTAACTTCTCTCTGCCTCAATTTCCTTAACTTAAATGGGCATAATAACAGTACCTATCTCCCAGGATGGTTGAGAGGACCAAATGAGGTAATAACTATTAAACTCTAAGCTGGCTGGTTGGTTGGTTGCTATCCTTCGTTCTAGAAGAGGACCAAAATGACATCACTATACTGGATTCATGTTTTAGTGTCTGACTATGACTGATCAGACCAATACAAGCTTGGAATGCTCTACCACAGGTCAGGCACAAATAGTCCACGTAAACATTTGGGGTAGATTCTCTAAACTGGCGCATCTCACGTTTCTTTCGAGCTGCTTTAATTCTGCTTTGTTCATCAAGCACAGCACCTTCTCTGATGAGGGCATGCCATGCTAAGCAGTCCTGTGCCAGTGTCTCCATGTTACACAATCAATCCCAAAGTTCTCAGGAGAGACCTTGACAGTGTCCTTGTATCGCTTCTGCTGACCACCATGTGAACGCTTGCCCTGTGTGAGTTCTCCATAAAATAGTCTTTTTGGCAAGCATATACTTGGCATTCAAACAACATGGCCAGCCCATTGGAGTTGCACTCTCTGTGGTAGTTTGAATACTCGGCAGTTCAGTTTGAGAAAGGGCTCAGTGTTTGGTACTTTATCCTGCCGGGTGATCTTCAGAACTAGCACTGGCAATGAGCATGTCAATCTCATTATCAATGTTATATCCCTGAAAAGTACACTACCAGCAAGAGAGGGGCTGGAGCAGGTATGAGTGGGAGCAAAAGAGGTGAGAATGGATTCCCCATACCATAAAGGAAGGGAGCCTGAGAGGAAGGATATGGAGAAAAAAGCCTGCCCCAAGGAGAGAGGAGACACTGGTGCTGCCTTAAGGACCCTGGGGACACAGAGCCTGCAGACCTTAAAGAAATGATATGAAGAAGAAAAAGGCAGAAAAGAGATCTAGCAATTAGGAGATCATGAAAACCCTACAGAAAGGGCCCCATGGGTAACACAAAGCCCCTCTGGGAGAAATCTCTGGAGATGAGCACCAGGTTCTCTATGGAGAAAGGATTGAGCAAGGGCATTAGTGTATTTGCTCTTGAAAGAGATGTTGCCAACTTTGTAGGAGAGAAGAGTAAAGAAATGGAGCTGTCCCTCCACAGAATGCCAAAGTGCCAAAGTAAATAGCTCACAGGGACCTTGAGTCTTAGGCTTGGAAAGGACTGAAAGTCAGCCTCTCATTTCTTATCTGAGGCATAACAAATCCTCCCTCTCTATGATATCCCTGACAAGAGGCCATCCAAACTCTGCTTGCAGTACTTCAGTAATGGGGAACTCACTACCTCCCAATCTAGGTCATTCCACTTTGGAACATTCAGGTTTTCATTATGTGAAGGCAAACCTGCATCCCAGTAACCTATCCATTAATCAACTCCAGAAATATTTATTAAGCACCTATTATGTGCCAGGCACTTTGATTCTAATTCCCTGTTTTGAAGTCACACCAAATCTAATCCCTTTGCCCCGTGAAAGTCCTTCAGATATGTGAGGAAAGCTACCACTGCCTCTGCTGTCTTCTATTTTCAGAGTGAAATGCCACCCACTTACAGATTCATGGAATTTAGAGATGGCAGGGTCCAATCTCCTCCACTACAAGTGAACATGATATTCTAGATGTGGTCTGCTCAGGACCACAGAGAGTTGTTTCTCTTCTTGGCATGATTATTTTATAAGTGAACTTATCCACAGCATTTAAAACTTCTCCATTTACTGTAACTGATGGTTCCAGGTATGGATGGTGTGGTGGTGGCTGATGGAGCACCTGTGTTTTCTTGGTATTGTTAAGTCAAAATTAGCACAAGCAGCAGAGAATGGATCTATACTTTGCTGCATCTCAGCTTCAGAGGCTGCACTGAGTGCACAATCATCTGTAAACAGAAAATCATGCACCAACACTCCCTCCACTTTGATCTTGGCTTGTAGCCTTTTCAAGTTGAAAAATTCACTATCAATGCCATAGCTGACCTTGATAAACCCTAGGCACAGTGCCTAGCAAGTGGTAAGCACTAACTAAATGTTAGTTATTATTTATTATAGATCTTGATCTAAAAGAGATCTCAGAGACCATTTTGTCCAGAGGTTTTTAATCTTATCCTTTTTTTGTGTAAAAGACCCTTTTGGCAGTCTGGTGAAGCCTATGGTGTCCTTCTTAGAATAATGTTTTTAAATGTATATAAGACATAAGATCACAAAGGACAATTACCAACAATTATCAACAATTATCAACGTATTAAAAGAAAATAAGTTTATTGTTTGCTTTATCAATGAAGGTGTAGGGAAGAGAGGAAGATAATTTGGAACTCAAAAATTTAAAAAAACCAAATGTAATAAATTGTTTTTATATGTAATTAGAAAAAAATATAAAACTAAACAAACAAAAATTACAAGTGTACAAACCCCAGGTTAAGAACCCATGAGCTAATCCAACCCCTTCTTTTAACAATTGGGGAAACTGAGTCCTAGGAAAGTTAAATGAATTGCCTAAAGTTACTGAGTAGCAATTCCCAGAGGGAAGATCTGAACACAGGTCCACAGACTCCAAGTTAGTGATCTTTCACATCTCACCAAGCTCCTTTGTATATGTTATTACTATCCCTATACCCCAATAGAATGGTAAGCTTCTCTAGGACAGAAGCTGCTGTCTTTGTATTCCCAACATCTAACACAGTGCCTGGGCACCCAGTTGTCGAATCTGAATGTGTTGAATTTCTCCTTGTTGGTCCTCTGTTTTGTCATTTGTGTTGTACATATGAGGCCCTGGATTGGATCCCTGGCATCCCCAAGAGTATGTTTGGGGCAGCCAGGTGCTAGGCCTCAAGGCAGGAACACTCTTATCTTCCTGAGTTCAAATCTGGCTTCAGACATCTAGAAGCTGTGTGACCCCGGGCAATTTACTTATCCCGTTGGCCTTTGTTTCCTCATTTGTAAAATGAGCTGGAGAAGGAAATGGCAAACCATGCCAATATCTCTGCTAAGAAAACCCCAAAATGGGGTGAGGAAGAGTCTGACATGATTGAACAACCAAAAAGGGAGAGAGTTGGGACTCCATATAGAGCCTGTACTTAATTGGCATTCTGTGTGATGTGCCAGTATTCCTTGGTATAGTGAAAAGAACCCTGATTTTTGAGCCAGAGGACTCAAAGTGAGTCCACAGCTCAGTTCTGCTCTTAGCTATATGTCCTAGAGAAAGGGATTTCTCTTTTCTGAGCCTCAGTTTCCTTCTTGGTGGTTAAACTCCATGCTTCCTTTCACTGCTAAATCCTATGAGTCTACCCTGGGATTAGATGAACTCTAAGCGAACACATTTTAGGATCAAATTATTGGTATTATCTCCATCCTGGGGGATTCTTTCCCTTTACTTTCTTCCAAAGCCTGAACCCCACTAAAAAAGGAGTGTGGAGGGGGAGGGGGAGGGGCACGAAACCAAGGGAACCCTGATGGCAGTCTAGGGGCATTTTCTCACCAGGCATCCTCAGCCTTGATTTACTATGGTCATCAAAGACCACCTTCCTTCTTTATCCCGCCCCACTTAGCCCTGGCCCCGATCTAATACCCACGACAAACCCAGAGCCCTTCCCCTCTTCCCTGACAAGGTCTTATCCAGCTTTAGCCTCAATACTCCTGCCCCACCCGCCATCCCGTTACCATGGCAACCAAGGTACCCACCCCTTCACCCGCACCCCTCCTGCGTTTGCTTTGGCCCCACCTCCGGACTCTGGGTCGCCATGACAACAGTCCCCCCCTTAACCCTCCCTCCCGGGGATCGCCGAGACGACACCCTCTCCCCGCCCCCAGCTCCTCCTCCAGGCCGGGTCTGAGGGGCCCCGGGCGGCCCCGGCGGCTACCCCGCCCTTTTCCCGGGGCGGAGCCGGGCTGCGGCTGCGGCGGCTGCGGCGGCTGCGGCGGGGACGGCGCGGAGGCCGAGGAGGCGGAGCCGGCCGGGGCTGCCTGAGTGACGGCGGTGGCCGGCCCGGCTTGGCTCGGCTGGGCTCGGAGGGGAGGCAGCAGCGCCATGGCCCCGCTGGGGGCGGACAGAGAGGGCTACTGGGGCCCCACCACGTCCACCCTGGACTGGTGCGAGGAGAACTACGCCGTCTCCTTCTACGTGGCCGAGTTCTGTGAGTGGGGCGGGCGCGGGGGGCGCGGGGACACCGGAGCTGCGGCCCCGGTGTGAGCGAGCCGGAGGGCCGGGCGGGGGACCGCAGGTGGCCCCCAGGGTTCAGGGCGGGAGGGTGGGGAGCTCTCCGAAAGCAGGGGGATGGGGAGCGTGGTGACCCCCGTGTCTCCTCAGTTGGGGGGGATGGGGAGCGTGGTGACCCTCGTGTCTCCTCAGTGCAGGGGGGATGGGGAGCGTGGAGACCCGACTCCCCCCCAAGAGGTGAACTGTGGGAACCCTCATCTCCTCCTGGGCAGGGCGGATGAGAAGTGTGGAGACCCCTAGCTCTCCCCAGGCATGGGGAATGGGCAGTGTGGAGACCCCAGCTCTCCTCAATGCAGGGACCCTTCCCGGCCACCGTCCCCGCCCCCCGCGGGATGTGGAGTGTGGGGGCTGTCATCTTTTCCTGGGCAGGGGGATGGGGAGCATGGAGACCCCCACCTCTCCTCAAGCAAGGGGAATGGGGAATGTGAAAACCCCTATCCCTCCCTAGTGCAGTGGGATGGGGAGTTTGGAAATTCCCACTTCCCAGTCTCCCCAGGGCAGGGGATATGGACTGGGGAGACTTCTTCCCTGGGCAGGGGATGCGGAGTGTGGAGACCCTCTAAGGCAGAGGATAGGGAGTGTTGAGACCCACCTCCCTGAAAGTGAAGAGATTGGGAGTGTGGAGATGTGCCTCCAGCAAGGCAGAGTGGAGACCTCTCTCCACCAGTCAGGTGATAGGGGAGTGTGGAGACCCACTTCCTTCCTCCAAGGCTGGGGAAGGTAGATTGTGGACACTCAACTCCTCCCCAACCTCCAAACAGGAAAGGGGGGAGTGTGGAGGCCTACTCCTTCAATACAGGAGGAAGAGGAGTAGGGGACCCTCCCTCAAACAAGAGGATTAGGGGGCTTCCTGTCACACAGGGGAGACTTATTAGTTGGAACCTGGACTTGCCAGGGCCTTTAAAAAAAAAAAAAGAGGAGTGGGTGAATCCTCTGGTTTGCAGTGCTTTGGGAAAGGATACCTGGGCTAATGCAAGGCAAGGAGGGGGCACCCTGTGGCTGAGGAAGGAGAGGTTGAGAGAGAATGAATGAAGCCACCATTCCCCCACACCACCCCCTAAGGTTAGGAGGAGCAAGGACCAGGGTGCCAGGGGGAAAGATCAGGGAGACCTGGGAGAGAAGAATGGGAGGAGAGGAAGGAATTCCTTGTACACTGAGAAGTAGGGGATCCCTCAAGGACTTGAGGTTTAGGACACCCCTAGATTCTGGCAATTGGGTTAATGCAGGGTGTTTGGTCATCCATACACCGTGGAAAGATAGAGGTCTATGTACACATCTCCACCCTCGGGGACAAAGAAAAATCAGCTTCCTGCATATTTGTACCAGGTGCAGACACCCTTGCCACCCTCCTGTCTTAGCACTCTGCTGGTTACCAGGCCCCATGGGTGAGGAATAGTTGTTTTCTCTTCCCCATGAACCTTAAGTCCTATTCCTCTTTCCTTTTCTCTGTTTTCTCAGCATCGTGTACTATCTGCATATGCCAGACTTAGCATTGATCTTTCCCTGCCCTCCCCAAGCCCTGCTGTTTGTGCCACTGCTTGACCTCATCTGGTTCTTAGTGCCTGGGGGTAATTTCCCATGCCCATGAAAACATGAAAACCCCCACCCTCCTCCCTTCCACTCACCTCCCAATAATTCTTGCATTCTGCCATGAGCTTATTGCAGATTTTCTCCTCCTAACATGACTATTTAGGTACTGCTTGTACCCAGCTCTGAAACTTAAGGGGAAAATTCTCTTTACTCCACAACATAAACTCATAGCTATCCATCCACTGACAACTTGTCCTCATCTCTGCCAACTGCTCAGTTTTGAGGGTACGATACATTCTGCCCCCTTCGGTTATCTGTTTTGATCAAGCCCTTTGGTCAGGGCAAAGAGTACTTAAGGACTGTCTGTGCTCCTTAGCTTGACAGGAGGTGGGATCCACATCTGGCTCTGCTGTGGGTGCCAATTACTTTCTTCATACCACGGCTCTCCAACGCTGCTTGCCAAATACCATTATCTTAATGCCCCACTTGGACCAGCTCCTGAGTTAGCCCAAAAGCCAGAAACTAACTCACTCTGCTCTCTTGCTCCCCCAATCGCTAGAGTTTCCTAATTAGCTACCTGCTCCTATCTGGCCTCTAAGAACACAGAGGCCATCCGAGGATATAACCTCACTTTTCTGTACTTCCCTGGGAACACAGGTCATAGTCCTTAAGATCACTGTCCCTGTTGGACCATACTTTAAACAGGGTGCAGAGGGTGATGTGGGACCTGTGCCTTTCTACCCCAGTGACTAGTTTTGGTTAGACCCAAGAATGCTAGGGGAAAGTCTTCCAGAACTACTTCCATAGTCCATCTTATTTATTTTTGAGGTCACTAGACACATATGTTGTTTTCTTTGGTTATCTTTTTCCTTCAGGCTTCTGTCAGGATGCAAGATACTCCTGTAGCTCTGCCTGACTGATGATTACACTCTCCATCTCTGAGCAAAACTGCACTTCTTAGTTTATTCCTGCTATACTTCTCCCCAAGGCACTTGCTCCCAGTAGAAGGGCAAAGGACTTCATTCCAAGCAAACATTCTTACCTCTGACCCCAGCTGTATGTACAGAGAAAAAAGAGGGAAAATAATGCTTTTCTGGATCTTCTAGTCATCAGTCTCTTGCCTTATAGGCCTATTTTTATGCTGAAAACTGTGTTTATGTGTTTTTTTTAAAAGGGCCAAGCTATTCATATCACTTGGGTTTTTAAAAATCGTGCTTGTGCAGTATTGAAGAACTCAGACTTATAACAGCAGAGGAAAAAACTAAAGGGATCCCTTTTGGTTGTTTGTACATATGACCTTGGGAAATTCAATATTTGTCAGAGGAAACCATCGCAAATTATAGTAACAAAGACCTTGGAGTCATGGGCTGGAACCAAAGGAGATAGCTAAGCAGATGTTTCATGAGGGCCACAAAAGATGGAAGGAGAGAATGTGGAAGATAGCCCTTAGAAATGAGAAATGGCCTTGTTTCTCTGCATAGTTAGAAAAGGAAACACTATGCAGGCAACTAGTGGGTTTTCAGTAAGAGGATAAGGTGAAGGACTTTGCTCAGGTATTCTGGGGGACTGTTTAATTTGAAGGAAGTTAAAGTTTCGTCTCATGAAAAGCTGTAAGAAGACAATGTGGTGGGGTGGAAAGAACATTGGTGTCAGAAAACCTGGGTTTGAGTCCTGGTTTGACCAGTCATACTTGTCTCTCAACTAATTATAGTTTCCTTCTCTAAAATAACAGTAATATCACTTAAAATTCTGACCTCCCATTGTCATGTTATGAGTATGAAATAAGGGGAGTGTTGTAGTGAGTGGAAGGACCCTGAACTTGGACTTGAGAACTGGATTCTAGTTGCAGGTCTGCCCCTGGCTGGCAGTGCCTCTTGACAAGGTTCTTGATTCCTCTTCTTAAAGTGACAGTATTGGACTACATGATTTTTAGGGTCTACTCTAGTTCTAACACTTTTTTAAGCTCTATGTGATTATGTTAGATGCTGTACAAATCTGAAATATTAGTATTCTTAAAAAGAAATGGAAATTTGTCATGTTGAGATAACCAGAAAGATGTAGAAATTGAGATAAATAGAAAATATGAGCTCAGTGTTCCTAGATTCTCAGGACTGGAAGTGACCTTAGACATTACCTAGTCTACCCTTCCACTCAGGCCCACAGGCCTCTCTGAAGCATTCCTGAAAGGTAGCCTGCCAGGTCTCTATTGCAACATATCACATAGCCCTTCGTGACACAATATATTATATTGCACAATTACCTTGAGTATTTTAGATTATAAAAGTGTCACATTTCCAATTCCCCTTTTTTAAAAAGAAATTTGAACAGATAAGCCTTTTTACAAAGAAATGTTGAATGCCTTAGAGATCATACATCGTGATGATAATGGATAGAAAAATGAACTTAGAACAAAAGACCCACATAGGGAGATTTGAGCTCTGTTTCTTCTACTTTTTGACTATGATCTCAGGACATTTCCCTTACTTCTCTAGGCCTTCCTCATCCTCAATTATAGATGGGTATAAATAATACTTATATTGGGCTGCTTAATGCCCCACAAGGATCCTGAGCTCTGTTTGAGAAGTACTAAGGAAAAATTGGCTAGGGAAAAAGGACAATGACCAAAAACCCCACTTCTCTCCAGTTAGAAAAATGTCCATGAGGGAATTGAGATTTCAGGTTCTGGGCAAATGATGAAAGAATAAGAAGTTAACAGGGTAGGAACAAAATTCTATAAGAGGAGTTTTAAGGAAGAGTCCATGGGTTAGAGTAGGGTGGGTATAATCAATGTGTACCTTCCCCAGAAGTCCCTATGAATCATAAACTCTGATGTGCCAAATTAATACTTCTTTTTCTTATTATTTTCTTAAAGATGAGTTTTGAGTGCTTGTCACAAATGAAAAGCAGTGACAAGTTCTTCAGTGTGTAATTATTGAGTTAGTATACTGTGTATTAGCAGTCAGAGACATCAGGTCCAAATCCTGCCTCTCTTGCTTGCTGCCCTGGTGACCTTGGGAAATCATTTCCCTTCTCTGGGCCTCTCAGTTTCCTCTTCTGTAAAATGAAGATTAGATGATTTCCAGGCTTCTGTTCAGCAGTTCTAACCCTTTCATTTTGCTTCATCTGCCTTTTAATGAGATTTCCTTGAGATAATAGTTCTTCTAGCATGTATGGAAAAAATGCTGCCCACTTTCACTTATCCTCTTATTGCCACATCTCTAATTACTGTGTCCCTCTCAATTCTAATTATCATTTTGCAATCCAGCTAACCATTGCAAATAAAGCAGCATTTGATTCCTAGACTATATACATGCCATTTAGAAGGTTGCCTTTCTGGAGTGACCTAAAGGTAGTATGATCATGATTACAGTTTACTTTTCTAAAATG